TGGGCAGGAGCAACAACAGGGGTGTGCAACCCTGTCCTGGCTGCTGGGGAAACTGAGGCACAGGGGCGGGGACCACAGGCAGCCCCAGCACTGTGCCTGTCCACAGGGATGCTTTTCCCATCCCATCCCAGTCTGTGGCTGTCCTAACTGGGCCAGCTGGCTTTTGTTCTCTGCTGGGCTGGCGGCCAAGATGCCCTGTCAGCTTTCTGTGCGGTTTTTCTGTCCCTCCTAAAGATGCTGCGGCTGGAAAAAAAGAAAGACGAACAAAATACTAGACAAGACACCAAAAAAAAAAAAAAAAAAAGCGGGTTGGAGGTCTCCCGTGTTCCAGTTCAACCACATTTGGTCAGGGTTGGGCAGCAGCTGCCAAGCAGAAACCCTCACCTGAGCTCACCTCAAATCCAGTAGTTCCAAGGGAGGTTTTAGATCAAGCAACGGTCCTTTCGGGGGTGTTGGTCCCACGCGTGTCCCCGTTGGGAGATGTTCAAAGCATCTGAAGCCGCCGAGAGCAGAGGAAAAGGCAGCTGCCGGCAGCGGAGCCTGGACTGGTTGGAAAAAGCAAATTGCCATGACAGCAGACTGGGGAGAGAGGCTTGGAGGAGGGGGAGGAGAAGAAAAAAAGGCTTCAGAGCCCAGGGAGATGGTTTTGTTTGAAAATTTATTGAAAAATGCAATACAAGAAGCAATACTGAACACTTAGGTCTGTCTAAATGCTACAGCAACTTTCCCTTTGATTTACTATGAAAAGTCCAAAATAACAGCTCCCATCGCTAGTCGATCTATAAATTTGCCAATTTTAAAAGTTCCTATTTTATAAAGAAGAGTGTAAACAGCTAGCCTAGACAATTCACAATTGCCTTAAAAAATTTTACAAAGCTCCTTCATATTGTCAACTAAAAACTTTTTTTTTTTTTTTTTACAAGTTTCATCTCTAAGGTTGGGGCACTACCACCTCCGAAGGAAATTGTACAATTAGGAAATGAGCAAACCAGAGTTTATTAAAACCAGAATCAGTCAGTCCTTTGCTAACACATCTTGTGTTGGTCAGAGATTTGCTATTTGGCACCCGGAGCTGCCGTTCCAGTTTAATGGAGAGGAACAGGAGCTCCTTGCCTTCCTTTCTATAAAAACATTCATTCATATATAAATAGCTTCCGTATAATGTATATTATACAATCAAGACAGTCTCTGGGTGAACTGGTGAAGTGGGAAGAGCTGGGAACATTCACATAAATAGACCTTACGGAGCTGGTTTGTCCCTAGAAATGACACAGCACGCTGCCAACCCGGGATTTTAAAAACCCGGCGGAGGTGGAAGGGGTGCGGGCAGTCCCACCACCGCCCCGGCGCAGGATGGAAGCAGCTTCTTCTGCTCTCAACTTTTATCTTCTTCCCCAGCTGCTGCTGCTCCTGGCCAGCTCCGGGGCTCAGAGGCAGCGGTGGCGGCTGGAGTGGGGCAGCAGGGCTGGAAATCCCCCGGGGGTCAGACAGCAGGGTGATGGCCAAGTGCAGACAAGGTGAGAACTTATTTAAAGTACTCGAGGAGAAGCAAGAACTTAGAATGAACAAACTGGAAACAGCCACCCAAAATCCAGGAAAAAATAAAATAAAAAAGGGTTATTCTAGTCTACAGGCTCATGGTGCTGGGGGCACAGGACACCCCAAGTGACACCCGGAGCCAAGCTTCAGCCTCGCACCCCACTCCCCTCAATTCTCAGGACAGCCAAGTGCCTCTAAGTGCTATGGACAAAGTTAATTTTTCACGCTGGCTTTGCCTGGCCAAGCTCAGAAATCCTCTTGGTGCCTCCTCACTGTGTGTGCCTGCTCCTCAGGGAGCTGCTCCAGGGTCACAGGGAAGGACCGAATGGCAAAAAAGGAAAATTCCTCAAAAAGGGAGGTGGCCAGAGGGATGCTCAGCAGGACGGGCAGTTAAGGCAGCGTTACCCAAATACGCTGAGCCCAGCAGGGCCACGGACCTGTTGGGGGACCTGCATGGCAGGATAAGGAAGGAAAGGGCTGTTCGGACAGAAAGAGGAAGACTTAATATCTCTGTGGAGCTGAGGATTCCCTAAATCCCCTGAGCAGGAGGCAGGTACCCAGCGGAAGGCAGAGCATCACTGGAGGGGACCATGGACCTGGAGGGGACCCTGCACCCGGAGCAGCCCAAGCAGCAGCTGCTGGTATGGGAGGGCTGGGGGCTGAGAAGGAGGCCCCCAGCCCGAGGAGGCCCCCCCCCAGCCAGCAAGGGTGGAAGAAAGCAAACCTCCAGCAGCTCCAGCGTTTCCAGCACAGTCTCCCATCAATGCTGCCAGCTTGATTAGAATTGCACCTGAACCTGAGACGCTGCACGAGCCCCAGTGTCGTTCAAAGGCTGTCTGCAGCTGAACGGCAAGTCAATGCAGCCTGAGCAAAATCCAGCGAGTTCTGAAACACATTATTCCAACTGGACATAGCAGAGAGCTTTTTTATTGCCATTTTCTTCCCATCCTCGACTGAGGAGCGGCAGCAGAGCACTCTGTGCCCTCAGCTACCCATGTGCCACACTATATATATATATATCTCTATACAAAAAAAAATTTAAAAATCACAACCTCAAAGTGTACTAAAGTGTTCACAAGTGTCCAGGCAGACTCTTTACAAAGCTTGGGTTTGTTTTTTTTTCTTTTTAAATGTAAATGGTGGAAGGAGAAAGCAGGGTGTGATTCAAACACGTCCATGAAGCTCCGAGAGCAGCAGCAGGAGCTCAGCCCTGGGTGTGTGGAGGGAAGCACATCCAGCCCCAGAAAGATGTTTTCTGGTCATTGCCATGCAGCTGGAGATGGCCCCGGGTCTGTCAGCTCAGCCTCAAGATGCAGACACTAACCCTGGTATTTCATTCCAGCCAAAGAATCCAGACCCTGAAGCCAGCGTGGAGGAGCACTTTCCGCAGGGTTTGGCTCGACCGTGACCAGCAACACCTGATACCTCCTATGATTTCTCCTTCAGCCTCTACAAGTACAGCTTACAAGCCTTTTAATTTTAAATTAAATGATAGGAGGATATATGCCCTGGAATATGGGTAATGTGTTTAGCATTAAATAGCACTGAGAGGGGAGGAAAAAAAAAAACAACCCATGACTTATAAAAAAAACCCAAAACAACCCCTAATTTAAAAATCATCAACACAAACAAGTGAAAAACTATGACATTGAAAAAAAATATCAGTTCCAGTGAATGCAGCATAAGCCTACCTTAATAGCATCCAGAGTCCAAACACCTTAAACGCACACTTCTACGGGCTTTTTAATTTAATGGCATCTAGAAAACACAATCGGGCGGGTAGCACTCGGCAGAGACACACGGGAGGAAGGCGAGGTGCTAGCACAGTCCTCTTAAAGCTCTAAAATTCACAGTATAAGATACTCGAAGCAACTTCCAGTATTCCTTAAATCTAGTCAACTAGTAAAGATGTGTGCGGAGGCTACACCACAAAACCCTACTTTGTGTTCACGCACTGGGGGCCTGAAACCCAACGGGGAGAAACGCGGAGCGAAGGCGGCAGCTCTGCTCTGCTGGCGTCTCAAGCTCCCCTAGAGCTAAAAAAAAAATAAAATTAAATTTAAAAAAAAATCAAGAGGCAATCGGAAACGCTGCACAAAACTAAAGTCTGACTTTTTTTTTCAACTGACTCTCCCGGCAGAAGGACCCATGGCTTTTTTGAAGGTGCGTAGGGATCCCGCACTCGGAAGATGCACGGATGTGGCTTATCTCCGTTATCCCTGACGAGGCGGAGGGAATACGACTTAAAAAAAGCGACCCTTGGAGCCCTGCGCGGTGTGTGGGGGTCTGTGTTTGAAGAGGCTATGTGTGAGAGGGAATGCAAAATTGAAAACCTGTAAAAAATCTTCAGTACAGTTAGAAATATGGCATACTTTTGTCACAATATATATATATATATAAAAAAACAAAACAACACCCTATATCAAATAGGATCCAGTGGAGTCTGGAAAATCCCAAGTCAAATGTCAAAGCGCAACTCCTAATAAATGATATGAATGTCTCCGAGTGTCAAGTCTTGTAAATCCGAGGTCTTTGTGCTCCAGGTAGTTTCTTGGTAGTTTTGCTGGGTTTCTTTTTGCTGGCGTTGTGTCTGGCAGGAACGTGTCCTGGAGAGAGAGAAACACGGTGAGTGATGGCTGTTAACAGCCGGATTTCTGGGAAAGAGAGGAACCTGCTTCCCTGAAGCTGCTGGAGAACATCTGCGATCAGAAGGTGAGTTACCATCAACGGCAGGTGGGAATCCGGGCTCGGAGCCACCTCCAGGCACCGGCACAAACACCGCCCTGCTCCCATCCCTCAAGGACCGTTATTTGAAGGGCTGGAAGTCCAGGAACCCTTAGGAAACCTCTGCTGGGTTTATTTAGGTTGGGAGAGTTAAAAAGCTCAGCCACAATGTCTGTTACACCACACTGCCTCTCCTCTCGCCTGATTTCTTCTTGTTCCACCTCCCCAGTCCCTGCAAACACCAGCTTTGGGGGCAGGATACACGCAGGGCATCACCAGCGCGGAGCAGGACAGGCTTTAGAGCCCTGACAAACGGGCAGAGCTCCTGGATTCCTCCAAAACCCTCAGGACTGCAGAAAAAAAGATGTCTCCAGGCAGGGCAGGAGCTTGGGGACCAGCTCAGGGCACTGATATAAGCAGGGGTCTACGTGAGACCAGCAGCTCAGCGTGCTGCTGGCGCGTGGGAGGTGGTTGGTAAGATCCTACAGCCTCATCACAGCAGCCGCGTAACAACTTCTAGACATTTCTGGTTCATTTCCACTGCAGGATTAGTCTGTATTTGTGACTGCTTCACCAGCTTTAAATGATTTAATAGGAACAGCCCGAGCAAGACTCATCAAGCAAAGAATAATAATTTTCCTTAAACTCTGGCCATATTTAGCCAAACCTCGCCTGCAGGGAGATGGAGCAGTGCCCATCCCTCCTTCGCACGTCGTCTCCCTACTTACGCAGCCCGGCTACTCCTCCGCGATCTCGGTCTCCTGGTGCACAACCACTTTGGTCACCGACATGTCCGGGTGCTGCTCCTTCGCCGCTTTGATCGCCTGCGCCAGAACCTGGAAGAGAGAGAGAACATTGCAGAGAGAACACTGCAGAGAGAACATTGCAGAGCCGGCCGCCCACGCTCCTCGGGGGGACAGAGACTGGTTCTAGCTCTGGGGAGAGGAAAAGGAAAACTTCAGCTGCACCTTTTGGTGACTTTTGGTGGTATTAGATTATTTGTGGACGGAAAAGCTGTTTTCTAAGAATACACCCCATCTCTCTGCTGCCCCATGGTAGATGGTGGATGGAACAATGAAGCAAACCCTGTTAATTCTTCCAGCAAGTGTGATGAGCACATTTCAGACATCTTCTCAGACATTTTCTTGTGGAATGAATAAATAAACTAGTTCTTGTCGTACGAATATTCTCCAGCCCCCTGATACTTGCAGCTATAATTAAATTTAAAGTATAATTCTCTGATGACAAAATTATCACCTCCAACACACGCCAGAGGCCGATGAGGCTGACTCATGAGAAGGGTTTCATGTAAAGCCGATGGGATCTAATGCAGGTGCTGAGAGCTGTGAGATGACTTCTGGCACTAAACAGCAGCAATAGTGCTCCAAAGTTACTAGAAAATTAATGCAGATGATCCAGACGACAAGGAAAACTTTTACTTCACATTTTTGTGAATTTTTTTTTAATTTTTTTTTTTAAATTTCATTTTTTCAAAACAAATCTGGAATCAAAACTTTGCTGCCAACACCAGTTTTAGAGCAGAACTAAGCTTTGCTGCCATACAGCTGCGTACTGTCAAAGAGGAATTTACTATTGAAATCAGTTTTGAAGTTTTATTTCTACCCCAGTAAAACTTCTCCAGGTTGTTTTCTGGTGAAGTTATCTTCAGAAAGGCAGTCTGCCTAATTCATACCAGCTCCGAGAAGCTCTTTGGACCACATCCAAGCTCCTACCTGGTCGTGGTCTACATCTGCATCTCCTGTGATGACGATCCTCTTTTCAATCCGCGTCTCTGAAATGCCACCTTTGACAGTCTGGTACAAAAAGAAGAATTCCTGTTAGTCTAGAAGTGAAAAGGAGTTTGAGTGGACTGGCATTGCGTGGCTAAAGACAGCACCCAAAAATAACATTACCCAACACTGCCGTCATACCACGGCATCAGAATCGCGGGGGAAAACTGCCGCTGCTCAGAGAAAAAACTGTCAAATATTAATTTTCTTATAACCGAGCCAGGGAAGAGCTTTGTCCCACAGGACGGTTCTTTCCCGTTGTCCCACAGGACAGCCAGAGCCCACGTCCGCAGAATTAATGCAGAATTTACAGTCTTCACCCAATGCAGGCAAACCTGAGACCCTCGTGCTTTATTTCAGCTATCAATCACATTTTTCGGAAAGGAACTGGGGTTTAAGCTTTTTTCCTCTTTTTCAGCTCTGCCCATCCCTCTGTCCCATCGTTGTTTCAGTTTTATCGTTTTCCCGCGCTGTTACCTTTGTGATCTGCGTGGTGGTGGTGCTGCTGGTGGTTTCCGAAGTGATGGTCTGAGCAGTCAGCAGGATGCCAGGGTCTAAATCTCCGTTGCCACCATCTGTCTGTGGGACAGAAGAACAGCCCATCAGTGTCCCTGGGGCAGCGGGGACAGAGACGGGGGCTCCATGTCGACAGCGGGATGCAATCCCAGGACAGAAACTCCTCTCCATCGTGGACCACGGGACGGAGCAAGCTGCTCTGCTGCTGGCTGAGCTGCACAAGGACTTCACGGGTCTCCGTAGGCTCAGCACAAAGCTCAGGGGCATTAGGCTGGAACCACATGGATCCACAGAATCACCCGGGGAGGACCCATGGCCCTCCCCGCCCCGGAGCAGGGAGGCTGGGATATACCCAAACTGGGGTAAACTGGCCCCACAATGCTGGTCGTGCTCCTCCATGCCAAGCTGCGTGCTCAGGACCAGAAAGGGGAATGAAAGCAGAGACTTAACCCAAATTACACCCAGATCCATGGAGATCCACAAAGCCAGAGAGGACCAGCTGATCCAGAAGGTACCTGTCACCCTTCCTCCCTCCTGCCAGCACCCTGCCCATCACTCCTTTAGACTCTGCAGAAGCAAAGCCCAGATTCTGCCGAACCAGGAACCACTGCTGGTAGCTCCCATCCTGCAGGACTCGACCTTTCAAGGTCTGCCAAAAAAACCTAAAATCAGTCATCCTTGCCAACTCATCCTGGAAGGGCCAAGCAGCACTAAGGAACGCCGGGCAGCATCGCCAGCGCGGCGCTGGGACGATCTCCGGAGTTACCACAAGGTGGGACCATTTTCCACAGACTGGGAGAAATCTCAGCGCACGTCACAAGCTGGAGCACACCGGGCTGGCTTCTTCATTTTTCCCAGTTGGAAATGTTAACAGCAGTAACTGGAGCAGAACTCACTCGCTGAGGAGCGGGGCGATGCTCACCCCCCCAGTGCAGGGAAGCCTGACAGCTCCCCCCCTGGCTCTCACACTCGGGAGGATGCTCAGCAGCCACGGGATTCCTTGGGAATCCCAAATTATCCCAAAGTGTGGTCCATGGGCTACCCACAGCCAAACCTACATCCCACAGTCACTACACCAGAGCATGGGCTGCTTCTAACAACCAGTTATGACAAAGCCAAACCTAACAAAGGCTCCAAATTCTTAAATATATAAATAAAGCCTATTTCAGACTGAGGATTAATTTTAACCTCAGCAATGACACCATACCTGCGTACGTTGGTATCGCTCCACTAACACTTCTAGTTTCCAATCACCAGATACCCACTCTGGATGCATTTTATACAATATTTTTGGTTTTCAGCACCTGTTTCAGGGTTGAAACCTAAAGGACATTCCACAAACGTTTTCAAAATCATTTACAAGGCAAGGTCTGAAGAGCATAAACAGCAAGGGGAAACGGGGAAAGCACGTCCTGCAGGAAAAAAGGAACTCAGGGTAACTCTGTACAGTCTGATCTACATCCCAAATCCACCAGTGGCTGAAGATAAATTCTGTTTGCATGCTTGAAAAAAATAATTACCCTTCAGTAAAAACACTGCTCCTCTAAAAATAATAGTTAGACCTGGAAATAGTGTCCAGAGTATCAGATAACTTCTGCGCTGTGACTTGGATGCTTGGAGAAAGGCAGGTGAGTTTAAAACTTGAGTTTAGTGAAGTCCCTGGAAAACGCATCAGAACACACCTTACCTGTGCAGCTTCGTAGGTGATGGTCTTTGTCTCTGTGTGGACGATGGGGACTTCTTTTGTTGGAATTTCACTTTTGACGGCGCTGGAGACGTCGGAGATGGTGACCGTCTGCGTCTTCACCAGTGGTGGCTGTGGGACAGGGTTAAAACATCTCCGTCAGGACCCCGGCAGCATTTCCACGTCGTGACCGTGCTGCCGGCAAAAGTTCTGACACTGATCTGATAAAAGCACTGTGGGAACCAAGGTCAGCCTGGACACCTTTGGGTTTACGCCTCTGCTTCGACACACTCCTCGGAAGGCAGAGATCTCGCAGGAGGATTAAACAGAGAAAAATCCTCCAGCCCTTCCCCAACGCCTCGCCCTGGGGTCAGCCCAAGTCAGGCGTTAAGGACGGGTTTAACCATGTGTCACAATACCACCAAGACACTGTCTCCACTGATTATTAACTTTCTAATTACTAGAAGCTCATTGCCAGCTGCCAGTAAAAGACGACCCTCGTGTACTGATGGCAATGTCAATTAGCACAAACCCTGGGCAAACAGAGACTCGGTTGCAGCTGAGCAGCTTTATTCTGATCGCTAATGAAACACTTCATTATTTAAACATCCTCATCAGATCCCAGGTCTTTAACTTTTATTAAATCAATGTCAGACAAACAGAACCATGACATCTCAAAAGAGAAATGGGGAGGGGAGAAGAGAAATCAGTTGTTCCACCACCTGATAATTATCCAGAAGAAGCCGAGGGTTAGTTCAGCCCCACAGTGTTTCCCAGAGGGCTCGATTTCTGCTCACCGTCCCCAAACCTGAGAGATGCCGCCGTGATTGTTAGCAGGGGAGGTGGCCACCTATCGAACCGTAAGCCATGAATATCAACACTGAAGCAGGCAAAAAATCCCTCCCAGGGTGGGGAGCACAAGGGGGACATCACAGCCCATGTTCACGGTGTAAAAACACATTTGACAGCACTTCAAATTTCCTCTGCTGCATAAGGCTCAGCCTCCGGTACAGCAGGAGACGGCAAAAACCTTAAGGAACTAAAATTAAGCACTTTTGGAGCCTAAATATTTCCATTTTGGAGGATGCAGCAGGGATGCTTTGATCAAAGAAAAGCAAAGGGCGTTGCGCTGCAGCAATTGTATTGAATGAAAAGATATTGTATTGAATGCAAAGATAAATGGAGAGGGGCTCGTCTTTAATGCAAAAATAAATTGAGGGGGTGCTTGTGTGCTCTGCCTGCAGGAGATTAACCGGCTAATTAGCTCCAAGCAAGAGTCAAAGCCAAGCCACCGCATCTCTCCGGGTCCGTGGCATCTGCTTGCTGCAGTGTTTGGGGTCCCACTCCAAAGCCAGCCGGGGGGTTCGGGGGGGGCAGGCGCTGGGGCTCACTACCTGG